GGTGTGGTCAGCTGGGGGGCCCCAGGCGGCGTGGCCCGTGGCATTGTTCTGGCGCTTCCAGAGCCCCTGACCCTCCGCAGAGAAGCCGCAGGCCGAGTCCTCGAAGGAGCACTGCTCGGGGGCCCAGCAGGGCCCTGGGCGCACGGCCACGTCGTCCAGCGCCATGGTGCCCTCGAACCCGTCCCGGAGGCCCTCGAACAGCAGCTGCGGGCACAGTGTCACGGGGCGTGGCCCCGCCCGCCCGGCCCGGCCCCGCCGCGCGTGCCAGCCTCACCTGGTACTTGGTGCCCTCTTCTGGCTGGTGGTGGAGGGTGGCCCAGGCCTGGTGCCAGCGGTTGCCCTGGGTGCCCGACCGGGCCCACAGCTGCTCCTCGGGGCCCCCGCCCCGCCTCACGGCCAGGCGCAGCGTCCCTGGAGGGAGGGGCTTGCATCCGGCGCCTCCCGGGCGCCCCGCCCGCAGCCCCGAGCCGCCCGCGCGCCCGCTCACCCGTCTGGGGCCCGTGGAGGTGGTACCAGAAGGACAGGCACTCCTGCGCGGCCGCCGGCACCTGCGGCTGGGTGAGCACTCGGGCGCCCGCGCCCCGGGCCTGGGCTCCCGTGGGGTCCAGGAGAAGGAAGTGGCCTGCAGGGAGGGCGGAGCTGCAGCTCGCGGCCCTGGGGCCCCGCAGGGCCAGCCTGCCGCTGGGGGGCCTACCTCGGCCAGTGGTGTGGTCATGGCCCGGGCCGTGGCTCGCCACCCGGCGCCACTGGGCCTCGGCGGGGTGGCCCGCGAGCCAGCCGCATGTGTCCCGCTCAAAGTTGCAGGAGATCTCTGGGGGCAGCGGGGGTTCAGTGCCCTCGGCCGGCACCCCCGCTGCGACGGAGCCCAGACCCCTCTGTGGGGCCAGGAAGGGCAGGCAAGACCTGTGTCCTTCTCCGTGGTGGCCGTGGGGCTGCAGTCCCTCAGGGTCACCGCATCCACCCAGGCGGCCTCCTCGCCAGGGCCGTCCAGGTCCACCAGGCCCACGAACTCCAGCTGGGGGCCGAGGGCCGAGTGTCAGGTGGAGACCCGACAGTGTCCCCCCGCCCCCCACGGCGCCTCACCCGGAAGGGCCGCTGGCGCGCCCCCAGGAGGACGGTGTCGGTGCTCCAGCCCAGGGGGCCGCTGTCCGGGGCCTGCCACAGCAGCTCGCGGCCGCCGCCCTCCTCCACCAGCAGCGCCAGGAAGCCTGGGAGGGCGAGTGTGGGCGCGAGCTGGCCGGCCTCCGGGGCCAGCCGGCGGCCGCGACCAGGGCGGGGTTACCTTGGGGGCGACTGTGGAAGCGGTAGGCCACGTGGACCGCGCAGCGGGGGCCCGAGGGGCCCAGGGCCGG